TCAAATGATTCATTGGAACTTGTGCCACAAACACCATCTGCCTGTGACAAAGAACTTGTGGGATCACAAGCTGGAAAAAGTTACAGACGATGAACACGTCAAACTCCTGTGGGACTTCCGGATTCAGACAGACAGAGTTTTTGAACATAATACTCCTGACCTCACAATCGTGTTAAAAATCAAAGTATTGATTGTCGATGTTGCAATCCTAGGTGACAGCAGGATTGCAGAGAAACAACTGGAAAAGCTGACATAATATGAGGATTTAAAAATCAAACTGCAAAGACTCTGGCACAAACCAGTCAAGGTGGTTCCAGTGGTGATCGGCACACTGGTGCAGTGCCTAAAGACCTTGGCCTGCACTTAAACACAATTCGCCAATACATCACACAGTCCTAGACACTTGGGAAGGGTCTGACGTGTGATCCAATTCAACAGCCAGCGGAGTGTCTGCTGTGGACTCATCTTTTTGTGTTTCAAATAATAATAATAATCTTTATTTATACCCCACCACCATCTCCCCAAACGGGACTCGGGGTGGCTAACATGAGGCCAAGCCCAAAATTTCAACAAAATACAATACAAGTACAGCAAAATAAAATACAAAAGCAACAATGCCATCAAAGTAAATAAAAGGAAGGAAAGGAGAGAAAGGAAAGGGAGAGGTATGAGGGGAGGAAAGGAAAGAAAGAGAAAGAAGGGAAGAAGGAAGGAAGGAAATGCGAAGGGAAGAAGGAAAGGAAGGAAGAAAAGGAAGAGGGAGAAGGTGGATGAGGAAAAGGGAGGAGCAACAAACCTAGCATTACTTATTGGTCTCCCATCCAAGTACCAGCCAGGGTTGACCATATTTAAAAACTAAGCTGAGATGGGATCTGATGCTTTTAAGGACAGGGCCTGCCACCATTTCCCTCCTCCTCCTCCTCTTCTCATTTATTCCTCTCTGGAGAGGTAGGATGCCTCCTCCAGTTGCCATGGTGATGAGGCATCCTCTGGTTGCCATGGTGACGTGGTCCAGCTCGAGTTTGTTCTAGCAACCATGGAGCATCCTGCATCCTCACCCTGCTCAGAGGCGGCAACGAAGGCCTTTGGGCACCTGCGGGGAGTAGGTAAGTCTGCCATTCTTCCGTGATTTTTCAGCTCTCCGCCATGGTATGGAGAGTTGGAGATACCCCAAAAATAGAAATTATTTTGCTGGGAGAAGGGCTTCCTTGCTTAGATGCTTAGGTGATCCATCTTCTCTATTCATCTCACTTATCTATTTTGAGCACAAGTTAACCAGTGTTCCAGTGTATCATTGTACGACCATGTTCGTCTCTCACTTTGTATCAGCTTAAGCAACTGAGGGGGGAAAGGAAGGGACCTGAGGCTGTTAGGAATGATGGGAGTTGAAGTCCAAAACACCTGGAGGGCCCAAGTTTTCCCATGCCTGGTGTAGATGCATGCAAATGTATCCTTCTGAAATCTCCCTTTTCTAACCAGTACAGGTGGTCCCAGTGGCCATTGGCACACAGGGCGCTGTGCCAAAAGATCTCAGCCGGCATTTGGAAACCATAAACATTGACAAAATCACAGTCCTGTCAGCTGCAAAAGGCCACCTTACTTGGATCTGCACGCATCATTCGAAAATATATCACACAGTCCTAGATGCTTGAGAAGTGATTTTGTGATACAAAATCCAGCATATTCGGTAGATCTTGTTTGCTGTGACATACTGTGTTTTTGTGTCAGTAAAATAATAATAATAATAATAATAATAATAATAATAATAATAATAACACTTTATTTATACCCCACAACCTCTGAGGATGCTTGGCATAGATGCAGGTGAAACGTCAGGAGAGAATGCCTCTAGACCATGGCCATATAGCCCGAAAAAACCTACAACAACCCACTTTATTTATATTCCACTCTTATCTCACCAGAGGAACTCAGGGCAAACATAAAAGGCAAACATTCAATGCTCGAATACAACAACAACACATCTATATTAACAAAATTTAAACAACCTGACATATAAACACGAAATTATGACTTTACAACTAAAATTAAATAAAAAACGCAGCCTGTTATAACAGACATAAGACAAAACATCAGACATTGAACAAAACAACAATTTCCCAGTTCCTTGGGACAAACTATTCAATAATAATAATGGTTTGTTGTAGGTTTTTTCGGGCTATATGGCCATGTTCTAGAGGCATTTTCTCCTGACGTTTCGCCTGCAAGCAAGCATCCTCAGAGGTATGAGGGTTCCTAAGATAACCATTAAAGATGTGCCTCACTACCTCTGAGGATGCTTGCCATTGATGCAGGCGAAACATCAGGAGAGAATGCCTTTAGAACATGGCCATATAGCCCGAAAAACCTATACCAAACCAGCAATTCCGACCATGAAAGACAATAATAATAATAATAATAATAATAATAGAACACTTTATTTATATCCCACCACCATCTCCCAGAACAATAACAAGATAAAATTACAACTGCAAAGACAACGAATGCACATAACAACACATAATTTTATATATATATATATATATATATATATATATATATATTACGCAGTAGTGCCTGCAGATAAACCTGCCTGTCTTCAATTAATGGGCTAAAATGCCAGAGTGAACAATTGGTCCTCAAATGCCAACATTGACCTCTTCTCAAGGTCAAAGGCCCATTGAAAAAGCCATGTTTCTAGGCTAGACTGAGAGGCTTGGAGAGTGGGTCCTTTCTAAGAACGGCATTCCAGAGCCACCACCGAGAAGGCCCTTTCTCTCATCCCCACCAACCATACTTGGGACCGAGAGAAGGGCCTCCCCTTCAATACTTAAGCAATCTCGGAATAATTTAAGATAACCATTTTTTTCGTGTGAGGAGTGACTTGAGAAACTGCAAGTTGATTCTGGTGTGAGAGAATTGAACATTTGCAAGGACATTGCCCAGGGAATGCCCAGATATTTTGATGTTTTACCATCTCATGTCCCTGCATGGGGAGCTGGAGCTGACAGAGGGAGCTCATCCGCACTCTCCCTGGATTTGAACCTCCAACCTGTCGGTCTTCAGTCCTGCCAGCACAAGGGTTTAACCCATTGCGCCAGTGGGGGCTCCTAAGATAACCATTAAAGATGTGCTTCACGTCATTTTGGGCATTCCTTGGGTCTGCAAACAGTTGGAGCAATCCGGAATGTGTGAGCCCTGAAACATCTTTTAAGTCTCCCATAGTGTTAAAGAATAATGAAAAAATCCTAGAGAGCAAGTACTCTTAGCCACACCATGATACTAAAGGGCACATAGTAATCTGTTCTTAAATACTAAAGCCAATCCATCTTGCTCCAAAGCAAGTTAGATTAATGCCAGCTGTACGAAATCATTTTCTTTGTGAACACAGTTCTCACGTCCAGAACATACTGAATCAGGACTGGAGTTTGTTGTTGTAGGTTTTTTCGCGCTATATGGTCTCCTGACGGTTTGCCTGCATCTATGGCAAGCATCCTCAGAGGTAGTGAGGTCTGTTGGAACTAGGAAAATGGGTTTATATATCTGTGGAATGACCAGGGTGGGACAAAGAACCCTTGTCTGCTGGAGCTAAGTGTGAATGTTTTAACTGACCACCTTGATTAGCATTTGATGGCCTGGTAGTTGTTTGGTGTGGCTTGTTAGTGCCTGGGGCAATCTTTGGTTGAGAGGTGATTAGATGTCCCTGATTGTTTCCTCTCTGTTGGATTAGAGTTTAGTTTTGGGAAGAAAGGAACAGTTAATAATGCTGTGGTTCAACAGGTGACCAACAATTAATATCAACTTCTGATCATGACTGGAAGAATTTATAGGAATACTAGCTGTAGCCACCACGCGTTGCTATGACCAACCTTCCCTCCGTCTTTCTCTCCTTTCTTTCTCTCCTTCCTTCCCTCCCTCCCTCTTTCTTTCCTTGCTTCCCTCTTTTTCTTTCCCTTCTTCTTCCTTCCTTCTCTACCTGTTTCTTTTCTTGCTTCCTTTGCTCTTTGGTTCCATCCTTCCTTGTCTCTTTCCTTCCTTCCCTGCCTCTTTCTCTCTTTTGTTCCTTTTCTCCTTCCTTCCCTCTTTCACTTTTTTATTTCATTCTCTCCCTCCTTCTCTCCTTCCTTCTCTACCTTTCTTTCCTTCCTTCTTTCTTTCCTTCCCTCCTTCTTTCCTTCTTTCCCTCCCTCCTTCTCTCCTTCCTTCTCTACCTTTCTTTCTTGCCTTCTCCCTTCTTTCTCCCCATCTCTCTCCTCCCTTCCTTCTCTACCTTTCTTTCTTTCCTTTTTTATCTCCTTCCCTTCTTCTTTCCCTCCTTCTTTCCTTCCTTGCTTCCTTCCTTCTCTACCCTTCTTTTTTCCTTCCTTCTCTCCTTCCCACCTTCTTTCCCTTCTTCTCTCCCTCCTTCTCTCCTTCCTTCTTCTATATCCTTCTTTATTTCCTTCCTTCTCTCCCTCCTTCTCTCCTTCCTTCCTTCCTCCTTTCTGTGTATTTGTTTTGTGTATGTATATGCATATATGTGTGTATATATATATGTGTGTTTGTGTATATATATGAGGCTTTGCACATGTGTTGTAATGTATTTTTCTTTGGTTTTTTGGCTTTTTAAGTCCCTTCTGCTGTGTTTTTCAGTGTTTTTATGAGTGGTGGTCACTCGTTGGCCTGAGAGGTGTATTGTGTTCAAATTTGGTTTCAATTTTGTCCAGTGGTTTTTGAGTTCTGTTAATGCCACAAGTGAACATTACATTTTTATTTATATAGATGTTTCCAGTGCTAATCTGGAAGTTAAAATCCTTGAATTATCCTATTACATATTTTATTAGTTTTTTAAAAAATCAATATTTTGTTGTTTCTTTGTCATTCACATAGACAAGAAGAGTATGTTGCTTGTCTTTAGGACAGTAATAACTAAAAATGGAAGATGAACCAGGAAACTGCAAGAAAATACTTACTATATACAATTTGCAATATTATATACATAGGCAGTAAGATTGTTGTGCAGTAAAGTTTAAAGATGAAATCTGTCTTTTACCAAGAATACCAGTCTTATTGTTGTCAAAGGCTTTCATAGCCAGAATCACAGGGTTGCTGTGAGTTTTCCAGGCTGTATGGCTATGTTCCAGAAGCGCTCTCTCCTGACATTTTGCCCACATCGATGGCAGGCATCCTCAAAGGTTGTGAGGTCGGTTGAAAACTAGGCAGTTTATATATCTGTGGAATGCCCAGGGTGGGAGAAATAACTCTTTTCTGCTTGAGGCAAGTGTGAATGTTGCAATTGGCCACCTTGATTAGCACTGAATGGCCTTGCAGCTTCAAAGCCTGGCTGCTTCCTGCCTGGAGGAATCCTTTGTTTGGAGGTGTTAGCTGGCCCTGATTGATTTCTATCTGGAATTTCTGTGTTTTTTTTTAGTGTTGCTCTTTATTTGTTGTTGTTCATTCGTTCAGTCGTCTCCGACTCTTCGTGACCTCATGGACCAGCCCACGCCAGAGCTCCCTGTCGGCCGTCACCACCCCCAGCTCCTTCAAGGACAGTCCAGTCACTTCAAGGATGCCATCCATCCATCTTGCCCTTGGTTGGCCCCTCTTCCTTTTACCTTCCACCTTTATTAACTGTCCTGATTTTAAGAGTTTTTTTTAAATACTGGTAACTGCAGGCCACTCAATGCTAATCAAGGTGGCCAATTGCAACATTCACACCTACCTCCAACACACAAGAGTTCTTTCTCCCACCTTGTACATTTCACAGATATATAAACCTCACTTGCCTAGTTTCCAACAGACCTCACAACCTCTGAGGATGCCTGCCACAGATGTGGGTGAAACGACAGGAGATAATACTTCTGGAATATGGCCATACAGCCTGGAAAACTCAAGGCAACCCAGCCTTGTTCAGAATGGAACTATTTAAGCTTCTGAGGATTTCGAACTACTCTACTGCTCAGGTTCCCGTTCCTGCTAAAACAATTATTCTTCTGCTATTTTTAGAATGGAAATACTATCAGAAGGAGTCTGATTACATATACAGTCAATGCAGTCCCATACGATAGCTAGATCCCTCTTTTAATGTTAACACAAAGTGAAATAAATAAATAAATTCGAATTATGAAAACTTCCAATTTGTTTTCTTCTCTTGCATTTGTTTTTAGCAAAACAGCTTCAAAATGAAGGGCTTGTATTCAACAAGCAAACTGTGCAGCACCTTGAAGATGCCATTAAAGCCGTTAAGGACCTGGTAAGGACAAAATGTAAACAAGCAAAAACTTTTGGCACGTAGATACAGTAGTAGCAAGTTGTTTGTTCTTCTTGGATGACCAAATTTGCATGAACTGGATGTGCAGATGACTGCTTGTTCTACTTGAATTCATTCCTAAGAGTGTTATAGAGGGAAGGGCTGCAATCTAGTACTGAACCTAAACTAAGTAATTTCTTCTGGCCCAACACTTGAAATCTTTTGGAAATGTCATTCTGCCATGCCTGGTCCTTGGCAGAATGGATCTCCTTCTCTCCATACAGCTGAGACCTGATGAAGAAAGTTGTGGTGGTGGTAGTTGTTATGACTGTGGCTACAGTGTCAAAATTTTGAGTAGCATTTGTGAATACGAAACAGTTTCCTAAGCATAATTGTTCATACTCATGATTGCTTCACGTCTGTCGATTTGATACAGTTGCCTAACTGTAACTGCTTCATATTCATTGCTTCGTTAATGAACATTAGCAAAACAGACAAATATACTTTCTTCCTTGAATACTCTATAATTCCAAGCAGATAAAAAGCACTAATTCCCATGAAAATAACAACACCAACAACACCAACAACACTTTATTTATATTCCATCCTATCTTCCCACGGGGACTCAGAGCGGATTACAGCATATATACAAACACAGGCAAATATTCAATGTCTTGATACAATGAAACACAAATACACAAAGGCAAAGGCTTCCTATAATAAACGCAGCGAGTAAGAGAGAGATTTTAATTAATTTTTAAAGACAGGGGATATATATATATATATATATATATATATATATATACACACACACACACACACAAACTTTATATATATATCCCCTGTCTTTAAAAATTAATTAAAATCTCTCTCTTACTCGCTGCGTTTATTATAGGAAGCCTTTGCCTTTGTGTATTTGTGTTTCATTGTATCAAGACATTGAATATTTGCCTGTGTTTGTATATATGCTGTAATCCGCTCTGAGTCCCCGTGGGAAGATAGGATGGAATATAAATAAAGTGTTGTTGGTGTTGTTGGTGTTGTTATTTTCATGGGAATTAGTGCTTTTTATCTGCTTGGAATTATAGAGTATTCAAGGAAGAAAGTATATTTGTCTTTGTTTTGCTAATGTTCATTAACGAATATATATATATATATATATCCCCTGTCTTTAAAAATTAATTAAAATCTCTCTCTTACTCGCTGCGTTTATTATAGGAAGCCTTATATTATATATATATAATAAAACCCAAACGCTCGCTGCTCAGCCAAAATTATAAAGCTCACAAAAGGTAGAGGGCGTATTGTTGCTGAACCAACTGTATATTTAAAAGTTAGGAACTGGGAACCATTGGAACTGAGAGACTTAAAGGGATTCTTCAAATGAATTCTGCTGCCACCATTTCAATATTAACCAGGCTGAGATAATATTGAGAGTTTGCTCTGTAACACACACTGTAACACACTTTCTTAGAAGCTGCTGTGAAGCTGACTTTTAGTAATGCTTTGACCACAAAGGTATTCACACTGAGGCTGGTATAAGTTGATAAAAATAACAAGAACATTTATTGAACGGGCTTGAAATATTCAGGTACAAATGCTTACTGGTTTCAGTAAAATACTGGTATAAAAAGCTTGTGATTGCATTAGAGTCAAAATCTTAAAAACTTCTGGGTTACAAGTCTTCAAAGTTCCACCACAGAAAATTACTTCAGGAAATGAATCTCTGAAAGTAACTCCCAAAACTGCCCCTTAGGAATCTAACCAAAAATACCCTGAACTAGGCTTCCTTAGGAATTGAACAGACCACTAACGGGGCACTGCTCCACAAAACTGTATTCTTGCTATCTCCTAAATAGCTACTCTGAATTCTTCACAAAAGACTGACCCAAACTTCTTCCAAACCCAAACTCGCTCTCACTAACACCAACACTTCTTCTCTCTAACAGCTCCAAACCCTAATAGACTAAAAAGGGGCTTCAACCTCAGTTTAAAAGACACTTTTTTCCTCGAGACCACTTAGGCTCCACCTCCATCTCTCTAGCCAATCCTAGCTTTCTGATTTTTCCTCTAAGACTGGAACATGCCCCCTCAAAGCAAACCTAACTAAGGTGGCTTCTCCCTGTCTCCCTTTCCCAAAATGGATGCCGTGGCTTCGTCAGGCCCACTCCCTTTAGGCTTCAGGCAGCCAGCCAAGGTAAGGGATTCATTACACTTCCCCTTTCATTTTCGGCTCTGGAGGTGGTGCTCATCTCCATTCCCAAAACGAGGAGCCTGCGTTGTCTGCAGACACCTCCTGGCTGGCATGACTGCATGGAGCACCTGTTTGCCTTCCTGCAGAGGTGGTACTTATTGATCTAATCACATTTGTATGTTTATGAATTGCTAGGTTGATAGGAGCTTGGGCTAACAGTGGGAGCTCACCCAGTCCTAAGGATTTGAACTGCCAACCTTCAGGTCAGCAAGTTCAGCAGCTCAATGGTTTAACCCACTGCGCCAATGAGCATCAGTGATCACTGATGGCTGCCGCTGGAAATACATTAATTTCAAAATATTAGCCTGTTGTGAGATCTTATGGATTGCTATGAACATGAATCTCATAAATCCAACAGATAAATGCACACTACAAATTTGAGGTGGGGGGATCAAAAGAAAGGAGGAAAAATGCCAATTTCAGAAAATCATGGCCTCCAATGAAAATAAGAAAGCTTTGGAAGAGCCCTAGTGCAAATCTAGGAAATCAAAGTGAAGCATTCGTCAAGAGAACAGAACAAGTGGACACAGAGGTGACCACAAACAGCTGCCCTCAGCAGATCATACTGAGAGAATTTGTACTTCTTTATACCATTCTTGAAAAATCCTGAGATAACCATATGGCACCTAATTTGATTTGTTTTAATCCTCATTTGGGGAGGGAGATTAAAGCTGAAAATCTGCTCCTTAGAAAATATGTGCAAGGGTACTTCATCATCCTGAAATTGCCTAAGCAGTTGCCACTCTGTACATTCACAGTAGCAGAATGTATTTACCCCAATATATTGTCGAAGGCTTTCATGGCCAGAATCACTGGTTTGTTGTAGGTTTTTCGGGCTGTTTGGCCATGTTCTAGAAGCATTCTCTCCTGACGTTTCGCCTGCATCTGTGGCAAGAACCTCTGAGGATGCTAGCCACAGATGGAGGCGAAATGTCAGGAGAGAATGTTTCTAGAACTTGGCCATATTTGCCCCAAGTTTGATCATCAAGGGAAGAGTGTTCTCATGATGGTTACTCTTGCTTTTATACATAGAATAATAGAATCATTGAGTTGGAAGAGACCTTGTAGGCCATCCAATCCAACCCCATTCTGCCAAGAAACAGGAAAATTACATTCAAAGCACCCCCAGCGGATGGCCATCCAGCCTCTGTTTAAAAGCCTCCAAAGAAGGTGCCTCCACCACACTCCAAGGCAGAGAGAGAGAGAGAGAGTTCCACTGTTGAACAGCCTCACATGAAATTCTTCCTAATGGTCAGGTGGAATCTCCTTTCCTGTAGTTTGAAGCCATTGTTCCCTGTCCTAATCTCCAGGGCAGCAGGAAACAAGCTTGCTCCCTCCTCCCTGTGGCTTCCCCTCACAGATTTATACATGGCCTTAATCACATCTCTCAGCTTTATCTTCTGCAGGCTAAACATGTCTAAACATGTCCAGCTCTTTAAGCCGCTCCTCATAGGGCCTGTTCTCCAGACCCTTGATCATTTTAGTTGCCCTCCTCTGGACACATTCCAGCTTGTCAGCATCTCCCTTCAATTGTGGTGCCCATAATTGGACACAATGCGATTCCAGGTGTGGTCTGACCAAGGGGTAGTATGACTTCCTGGGATCTATACTCCTATTTATGCAGGCCAAAATCCCATTAGCTTTGTTTTACAGCCGCATGACATTGTTGACTCATGCCTTCAAGAAAACCAACGCTCAGTATAGTTTAGTACAGGTGCAACCCCTCAGGATTTTTTTACTTGGCTATGACTCTTGTCAATTTCCAGGAAGAAGACAGAAAGCACACAATTGAATTGTGGGAAGAGGAGACCATAAAAAACTGCAATCTCCGTATCAGAATCAAAGGAGTTCCAGATATGGTCATGAAAGAATTCAAAGGTACTCCCAGATCAACTTGTTTCATGAAATAATAGCATACTGTAGAAAATAGGGAATAGAAAGTGTTTGCAAATTGAATGAATGCCCATTTCAAGCAGTCTTGTATGGATTGATACAATATTTTAAATTTATTAACTATTAATTTCAAATGTTGATAATGTGTTTGGAAAACTTGTTTTTCTTAGGTCTATTTACAGAAGCTGTGTGATCTCTGCTTGGCACATAAAAGCCTGGCTGTTACTGTGTGTTTCTTACAGAAGGGAAACCAAGTAACAACCAGAAGATACTACTACTACTAACAACAACAACAACAACAACAACAACAACAATAGATGCTTGGGAAGTGTTCAACTTGTGATTTTGTGATACGAAATTTGTGATGTAGACTAATGGGCATTCCTATGGGTGGTCTCCTCCCAACCATTGACATTTCTTTCCCCAAATCCTGTATCACAAATGAGCCTGGCATGGTAATTTTTCAAATAAATGTATTTAATTAGAAATATCTTTGTTTTCTCTGTCATTTCTCCTTCATGGTATTCTTGGCTTATGAAGTTGCAGCACTGAGAGCTTTTCAAGTTTCAGACTTCTGTGATGCAGAGTACTGAGATTGGGAGGAAAGTCAATCTCAGTACTCAAAGTGGGGTCTAGTGAAGATCAGTGCCTTGCGTCTAATCCAGAGCAGTGAGATTGGAGGGGAAAGTATTTCCCCCCAGATTTATTTTAATGGAGTGGATGGGAACTGCACTCTCTTGTGTGATAAATCTGAAAATGGACAATTTTGGGAGAAAAGGCAAGAAAGAACAACGTGTGATGAGATCTGAGAGTGGGGTTTAGGTTGAAGTCTTCTATAAGATTAATTATTGTTGTCACGATGCTCTAGTACAACCTTCCTAATGCAGAAACCCCTTAATACAGTTTCTCATGTTGTGGTCACCCCTAACCATAAACATTATTTTTGTGGCTAATAAACAAATGTAATTTTGCTACTGTTATGAATTGTAATGTCAATTTCTGATAAGCAGGATGTATTTTCATTTACAGGACCAAATTTGGCACAAATACCCTATACGCCCACATTTGAATGCTAGTTGGATTGGGGTGAAGGGTTAATTTTGCCATTAGAGAGTTGTAGTTGCTGGGATGTATAGTTCACCTGCAATCAAAGAACATTCTGAACTCCACCGACAATGGAATTGAACCAAACTTGGCACACAGAACTCCCATGACCAACAGAAAATACTGGAAGGGTTTGGTGGGCATTGACCTTGAGTTTGAGAGTTGTAGTTCATCTATATTCAGAGAGCACTGTGGACTAAAGCAATGAAGGATCTGGACCAAACCTGGCACTCAATATGCTCAAATGTGAACACTGGTTGACTTTGGGGAAAGTAGACTTGACATTTGGGAGTTGCAGTTGCTGGGATTTATAGTTCACCTACAATCAAAGAGCATTCTGAACCCCACCTACGATAGAATTAGGCCAAACCTCCCACATAGAACCCCCATGACCAACAGAAAATACTATGTTTTATGATGTTCTTTGGTGACCCCTCTGACACCCCCTCAGGGTTCCCAACCCCCAGGTTGGGAAACGCTGCTCTAGTGAATATCTGAGTAAATCTGCATTTCCTGTATTGTGTTTATTGTTCCAGAACTTGTGTCTGCTGCCCGCCGATTTCATTCTTACAGATTAGGTGAACTAAAGACTTCCATTAACGAAACTATCACTGCAGTGGAATCACAATATTCAAGGCAGAAAGTATCTGAAGAAGAAAATGTTACATTATGGTAAGCACTATCTCTTCAAACATCTTAGGTTACATTCCATAAAGGCCCATGCAATTTCTACTCTGCCTGTAACTCATGGGACATTTTTTTAAAAATAATAATGAGTGAAATGAAATATTTAATAGTCAGTCTTGCAATCAAGATCTCAGATGGGGGAACTGAAGTGGGAAGGGAGACTACGGAAAATTAGTCAGAAGCAATTGGTCTAGGCAGAACTCTATCTCATTTCCCAGGCTATTCCTCAGGTCCTTAGCTCAGGTATAGTGATGTCTATGCAAGTCAAACCACATGGATGTGGGTGCTAAATTCCATAGAGTGGTGACCACAAGTCTTTAATCTAGAATCATAAAGTTGGAAGAGGCCACAAGGGCTGTTCAGTCCAACACCCTTCTGCCATGCAGGAACACACAGTCAAACCTCCTGACAGATGGCCATCCAACCTCTTTTGAAGAACCTCCAGAGAAAGAGACACCACTCTTTGACCCTCCCTCTTTCTCCTGGTACGGTATCCAAAGTGACCATCTTGCATCAGATTCAATATACAGCAGTGATGAGTGGGAAGGAGAAGGAGGAAAAGCCAGAGATGACTAGATACAAACTTGTAAATATGCAGATATACTCAAAAGGAAAAGAATTGGAAATGCTTCCTCCTTTGAGACACTCTGGTTGATCTCTCAAGAGCTCCTCCTATGTCTCTTTTCCTCTTTTGTTTTGGCAGCGAGGAGGAAGCAGAGCTGTGGGCCAAGCACCAAGGTGTGATTTCCTTAGTGAACAGGCAATTGTCAGAAAAACATACTGCCAATATTGAGTTAAATCATCTTTACAATCTCCAAAGAGAAGAAGAGGAAGAAATTGTCAGACGAGAGAGTGCCATCCTAGAACTGAAGAAAATAATGGTGGCCGAAGCCATTGAATTTAAGGAGAAAAAAGAGGTGCTAGATACACGGGTAAGTTTTCAGGAACTTCGTCTCAGTACGCAAATGCATCCTTAGTGAGACAGTATGGATGTGATATTGGTCTACAAATTTGGGCAGAAATAGTTGCCAGCCTGGCTATTTGAATGCTCCTAAGTGCAATGTTGTTGTTCTATCATGTGCTGGGCCTGTAAAAATTGTCTTTTGAATAGGACGTGCACTTTGTGCCCAGCAGGAAGCCAGGGCGCCTCGAAAGAGAGGCCCTCAAGGATTTTCCTGTATAATAGTCTTAGAGGCTTGAAAGGTTTAACGAAGTCCCTTATTATTGAACAAATTAAGCAAATACTTCCCAGATCTTCAATGAGTCAAACAAATGCTTCTTAACTTGTCTACAATGGTCAGTCACCTTGCTTGGAGAACTATTTCTTTCTTTAACAAGGAAAACCCTTTTTTAACCTCTCCCAGGCTGTCTACTATCTAAGCTTTGCTGATGTGGGTTCTACTACCAGACCCAAACTGCTTCTTGGGCGCCGAGTAGACCTACCAGTCAAGGCTTGTAGATTCTCCAGCTGGAGTTCTTTGGGTCTGTAAAGCTGTTTCCCCCCGGATGCTGTAAGACTGAGAGGCTGTAAGCTCCCAGCCCAAGCTTTGGGACTTTTCCCCCGGAAATTCCCCGGAAATTCTTAAGAAATGAAGCATTTCTGCAGGTGAAGCTGGTCCACATCCTGTAGCTTAGTTTCTTTCTGTAAGACCGAACTCAAAATGGCTCCGTCTCCTCCCCAGATCCCTGGGGAAAGGGGCAGAACCAAACACAACAATGATAGACAGGTGGCTAGCCCTATAACTGCAAACCAAGGGAAGTCACCTTTTTGCAAAACCCCTGAAACCTTGAAATGCATGCAAACATTAAATAGAAAGAAAATGAAGTTGGAGCTCCTGGTACAGCCGTACCAGCACAGTTGTACTTCTCTGAAGTCATGTTTCGATGCAAAATCTAAATGCAGACATTCTGCAGCACTGCCATCGGTACTATTGCAAACAGCTTCCCCAGACTTCAAGCACTTGCCATAATTAAGGGGCTTAACATAAATCAAAACAAAGCAAGCATATAAAGAAACAAACAAAAATTGAAACAAAATTGTCCCATTTCTACTATTGGACTAGGTTTTCATCTCAATAAGTTTGCTTTTTTTATTGTGTCAGAAGCGAATTGAGAACATATTGCAAGTTGCTTCTGGTGTGAGAGAATTGGCCATCTGCAGAGACGTTGCCCAGGATGGTAACCCGCATGTGTTACCATCCTGTGGGAGGCTTTTCTCATGTCCCCGCATGGAAAGCTGGACCTGACAGATGGGAGCTCACCCCATCTCACAGATTCAAACTGCTGACTTTCAGGTCAGCAGTTCAGCCGGCACAAGGTTTAACTCATTGCGCCACTGTGGCTCCCTCAATGGATTATGCCAGACTGCCTCTCCATGATGTTTTGCAGGAGTTCTTGTTCTGCAAAGATTGCATTGAATTCACTAGAAATTTAGTACATTAATTAATAGGGCTGAAAAGCTTCTTAGATATTGAAATGGATTTAGGAAAACATTCTCACTGATAGTAATTATTTAAACAAAACAGGTAGAAAACTGAAGTGCATTCAGATTGGGAAAGGGTCTTGATAAAGGTTAGGCTATTCAGATTCTGAGGCTGGATCTACACTGCCATATAATCCAGTTTCTGAATCCAGATTATCTGCTTTGAACTGGATTATATGAATCTACACTGCCATATATTCCAGTTCAAAGCAGATAACTATTTGAATTCAGGAACTGGATTATATGGCATTGTAGATGAGTCCTGAGGCCCCTTCTGCCATGATGATGGGGGTTTATTTGTCGTGTCAGAGCAACCAGTCCATTATATTACATTTCTAACAGAACAAAGCAAACAAACAGAAAGATACAAAACTTGTGAGTTTGGTAGTTGGTTAAGTGTCCTTTGACCAGTATCTGGCCACTTGGAGTGCCTTCGGTGTTGCTGCAAGAAGGTCCTCCATTGTGCATGTGGCTGGGCTCATGTTGCATTGCAGTAGGTGGTCAGTGGTTTGCTCTTCTCCACACTCGCATGTCGAGGATTCTACTTTGTAACCCCATTTCTGAAGGTTGGCTCTGCATCTCGTGGTGCCAGAGCGCAGTCTGTTCAGCGCCTTCCAGGTCGCCCAGTCTTCTGTGTGCCCAGGAGGGAGTTTCTCATTTGGTATCAGCCATTGGTTGGGGTGCTGGGTTTGAGCCTGCCACTTTTGGACTCTCGCTTGCTGAGGTGTTCCAGCGAGTGTCTCTGTAGATCTTAGAAAACTATGTCTAGATTTAAGTCGTTGACGTGCTGGCTGATACCCAAACAGGGGATGAGCTGGAGATGTCACTGCCTTGGTCCTTTCACTGTTGGCTGCCACTTCCCGGCGGATGTCAGGTGGTGCAATACCGGCTAAGCGGTGTAATTTCTCCAGTGGTGTAGGGCGCAGACACCCCGACCAGCATGATGGGGGTGAAACTGCATTATATGGTCAGTGTAAACTGAAATAATGCAATTCAATGCATTTAAACTGCTTTTTATGAGTCTACACTGATGATATAATCCAGTTCCAAACTGGATTATATGGCAATGTAGATGGGGTCTGAATGTCGTAGTGGTTTCCATTTCTGCATGGAATTGTGTCCTAATAGACTTGAGTTTAAGCTTTTCTTTTATTGCTTGAGCTATAGTCAGACCTGGAGGCAGAAAACAAAAACCAAAGCAAGAAAAGGGGGGAGGGGGAGGTTCAGAATATCTATTTAGTGAATCATGACAAGTAGGTCCATAATGAGGACCGTGGATATGGAGGATATTCTGTAAATACAGGTACAACTTCCACCAAATGAGTTATCCCTTCAAAGTGATATGTAATGTACGGTAATTAGACTGGGTAGAAACTTGTTTTTCCCTTCTCCAAAATCTTGGTGCATTTGGCCATCCAATGAAGCTGAATGTAGAGGATTCTGGAAATATTATTTCACAAAGCAGTATAACCTATTTCATTTGCAAAATTGATAAAGCTAATTTCTTGAGATTATAACCTGAAAAGAGAGTTGCCCAAGCGAATGAACTCAGTAAGGGAATCTACTCTGCAATAGGTAGAGAGTTGTTTCAGCTTTAATAAAGGTAATTGGTTGCAGATTGCAGATCTTCAAAAGCTACTTGATGCCAAGAGGCTTCAAAATGCAAGCAAGAGGGATGAATACCATCGATTGCTTCCAGAAATGGAAGATCTTGAGAAGAAAACTGCAGAGCATAAGAAGGTAAGAGGACAATGCCTTTGGTTAACAAACACTTTGTTTCCATTTGCTTAACATACAATGGGCAATATAGTTATTTGACACAATGGGCACTGCCTTTTCTCTCTGTTTTCCATCGAGTTTCTTGACATGAAGCTAGATATCCTCCTTTGAGTGTAGCACTAAACTGGCTCAGCAAAAACCCAGATGTGCGCACCAAAACTTGTTGCGCTGGATTCAAGGAAGCATGGAGGAGTGCTGCGCTCTGACACATGTTGCCAGCTTCATAGAACAGTGTTTCTCAACTTTCCTAATGTCGCGACCCCTTAGTGCAGTTCCTCATGTTGTGGTGACACCATACTATAAAATTATTTTCATTGCTACTTCATAACTGTAATTTTGCTACTGTAAATATCTGATATGCAGAATACAGTGGCAAAAAAGCCAACAGGATTTTGGCCTGCATCAATAGGAGTCTAGTGCCTAGATCCAGAGAAGTCATGCTACCCATGCTCTATTCTGCCTTGGTTAGACCACACCTGGAATCACATTGTGTCCAATTCTGGGCACCACATTGAAGAACGATATTGACAAGCTGGAATGTGTCCAGAGGAGGGCGACTAAAATGATCAAGGGTCTGGAGAGCAAGCCCTATGAGGAGCGGCTTAAAGAGCTGGGCATGTTTAGCCTGCAGAAGAGAAGGCTGAGAGTAGACACAATAGCCATGTATAAATATGTGAGAGGAAGTCATAGGGAGGAGGGAGCAAGCTTGTTTTCTGCCGCCCTGGGGACTAGGACGCGGAACAATGGCTTCAAACTACAGGAAAGTAGATTCTATCTGAACATTAGAAAGAAATTCCTGGCTGTGAGAGCTGTTCAGCAGTGGAACACTCTGCTGCAGAGTGTGGTGGAGGCATTTAAACAGAGGCTGGATGGCCATCTGTCAGGGTTGCTTTGAATGCAATTTTCCTGCTTCTTGGCAGGGGGTTGGACTGGATGGCCCATGAGGTCTCTTCCAACTCTATAATTCTATGTATTTTCATTTACTGGACCAAATTTGGCACAAAGATCCGATACACCCAAATTTGAATACTGGTGGGCTTCGGGGGGTTGATTTTGTTAGTTGGGAGTTGTAGTTGCTGCGATTTATAGTTCATCTGTTTAAAATTTTAAGAGATGATGATGTCAAGGTGATGCATGCCATATGCCAGCAAATATGGAAAACACAAGAATGGCCATCAGACTGGAAAAAATCAACTTACATCCCCATACCAAAAAAGGGAAATGCGAAAGACTGCTCCAACTTCCGTACAGTGGCCCTTATTTCTCATGCCAGTAAGGTAATGCTCAAGATCCTGCAAGGAAGACTCCAGCAATACATGGAGCGAGAGTTGCCAGATGTTCAAGCTGGGTTTAGAAAAGGTAGAGGAACGAGAGACCAGATTGCCAATATCCGCTGGATAATGGAGAAAGGCAGGGAGTTTCAGAAAAACATCTATTTCTGCTTCATTGACTATTCTAAAGCCTTTGACTGTGTGGATCATAATAAATTGTGGCAAGTTCTTGGTGGGATGGGCATCCAAGCCACCTTGTCTCTCTCCTGAGGAATCTGTACAAGGACCAAGTAGCAACAGTAAGAACCTGACCCCGGAACAACAGACTGGTTCAAGATTGGGAAAGGCGTACGGCAAGGCTGCATCCTCTCCCCAACCTTTTTAACTTGTATGCAGAACACATCATGCGATGTGCGGGGCTTGATGAATGCAAAGCTGGGGTGAAAATTGCTGGAAGAAACATTAACAACCTCAGATATGCAGATGACACCACTCTGATGGCCGAAAGCGAGGAGGAGCTGAGGAACCTTCTAATCAAGGTGAAAGAAGAAAGCGCAAAAGCTGGGTTGCAGCTAAACATCAAAAAAACCCAAGATTATGGCAACAAGAATGATTGACAACTGGAAAATAGAGGGAGAAATGTGGAGGCCGTGACAGACTTTGTATTTCTAGGTGCAAAGATTAGTGCAGATGCAGACTGTGGCCAGGAAATCAGAAGACGCTTACTTCTTGGAGGAGAGCAATGTCCAATCTCGATAAAATAGTAAAGAGTAGAGACATCAACTGGCAACAAAGATCCGCCTAGTCAAAGCCATGGTATTCCCTGTAGTAACCTACGGATGTGAGAGCTGGACCTTAGGGAAGGCTGAGTGAAGGAAGATAGATGCTTTTGAACTGTGGTGTTGGAGGAAAGTTCTGAGAGTGCCTTGGACTGCGAGAAGATCCAACCAGTCCATCCTCCAGGAAATAAAGCCCGACTGCTCATTGTAGGGAAGGATACTAGAGACAAAGTTGAAGTACTTTGGCCACATCATGAGGAGACAGCAAAGCCTAGAGAAGACAATTATGCTGGGGAAAGTGGAAGGTAAAAGGAAGAGGGGCCGACCAAGGGCAAGATGGATGGATGGCATCCTTGAAGTGACTGGACTGACCTTGAAGGAGCTGGGGGTGGTGACGGCCGACAGGGAGCTCTGGCGTGGGCTGGTCCATGAGATCACGAAGAGTCGGAGACGACTGAACGAATGAACAACAACATAGTTCATCTACAACTAAAGAGCATTATGAACCCCACCAAAGATGGAACTGATCCAAACTTGGCACACAAAACTCCCACAACCAACAGAAAATACTGGAAGGGTTTGGTGGGCATTGACCTTGAGTTTTGGAGTTGTAGTTCACCTACATCCAGAGAGCATTCTGAGCTTTACCAATGATAGAATTGGGCCAAAATTCACACACAGAACCCCCATGCCTTGAAGGGACTTGCTGGCATGCGCTTCTCTCAGGCCTTGTGTGCTCTTCCTCGCCTGTACATGCGCACCACTCTGCCATGCGTTTAGCATGCTTCTCTACCCTCTCCGCTTGGAGTCTCAGAAACAGCCCTCCCCTTGGCTGAGAGGATGGCCAGTCGCAGCGGAGGAGGGCTTTTGGTGGGAGGATTTGCCATCTGTTTCCAAAAAGAGAAGGACGGGCGGAGAGATCTTCACCTTTTTCTGCCAAAGGGGTTCCTAAGACCATCAGAAATATATGTTTTCTGGTGGTCTTAGGCGACCCCTCTGAAATACCCTCGCAACCCTCTCAGGAGTCCCAATCCCCAGGCTGAGAAACACTGTCCTAGAGCATGTTTTATGAGGCCTTGAATAGTACTCTAAACCAGTGTTTTAATAAGTTCTATCAAAATAATCCTTACCTTTTCACGTACGCTATTTAGCCCTGCTGAATGCAAGTTTTTTGTTTGTTGTTTGTTTACATTTGATAGACCATCAGTGATCTGAGGGCTGAGCTGGGAGAGCTTTTCAAAAAAGTTAAACTACAAATACAGGAATTTCAGGAGAACAAAGCTAAAAAAGAAGACCTCCTCAAAAAGAAGTAAGAAGATTTATTCTTTTTAAAAATGTTTTATATAGATCTATTTTAATGCCCCTTAGGTTTGCTTTTAAAAAGTTAGTGCTACTAGTGCGTAACAAACATGCTGGGGGCATGCATCCATATGAGAAGACCATATTACACAGGAATTACACAGTAACCAGTTCTATGAGTACACACTAAACAACCTATACACCAGGGGTCCTCAAACTACGGTCCGCGGGCCACTTCTGGCCCGCCAAGGGCACTTATCCGGCCCGGAGAGGAGGAGAGCCACTCCACACAGTGCCCCTCCCTTGGCTGGCTCATGCTATCCGTCAGGACCGATGGGCAGTGTGAGCCAGCCAAGGGCAGCTGCTCCATGTGGCCTACTCGCGCGTAAAGGACCTCGCAAGGTGCTTTATGTGCGAGTAGTCTGCGCGGTGCTGCTCCTCCCTTGGCTGGCTCACGCTATCCGTCGGGCCTGATGGGCAGTGTGAGCCAGCCAAGGGAGGTGCTTTATGCGCGAGTAGGCAGCGCGGTGCTGCTCCTCCCTTGGCAGGCTCACGTTGCCCATTGGGCCCAATAGGCAGCGGGAGCCAGCCAAGGGAGGCTGCCCCAGTGCTCCATGCAGTCATGTCGGACACATGACCTTGGAGGCGTCTACGGACAACGCTGGCTCTTCGACTTAGAAATGCAGATGAGCACCACACCCCAGAGTCAGACACGACTGGACTTCATGTCAGAGGAAAACCTTTAACTAGGAAAATTGTGGAAAATCCAGGGTGGGAGAAAGAACTCTTGTCTGTTGGAGGTAGGTATGAATGTTTCAATTGGCCACCTTGATTACCATTTCTTTGCCTGACAGTTTTTTTAGGGGGAATCCTTTGTTGAGAGGTGATTAGCTGGCCCTGATTGTTTCTTGTCTGGAGTTCCCCTGTGTTTGAGTGTTGTTCTTTATTTACAGTTATAATTTTAGAGTTTTTTAAATACTGGTAGCCAGATTTTGTTCAGACTAGAAATAGGAAGATTTCCCATTCTCTGCTCCTGGAATTACTGCCTAAAGAGAGCTAGAAAGAACCCTTCCACACAGCAAAATAAGATATGTGCGATGTGCATAGGAATTTTTTATTGATTTTTTTTTTTAAAAAAAACCTATAGTCCAGTCCTCCAACAGTCTGGGGGACAGTGAACTGGCTCCCGGTTTAAAATGTTTGAGGACCTCTACCATACACTGTCAATATAAAAACCTCATATACAGTAAATCAGTACTGATATTCTCCCAATACCTTCAACTTAGTCTTGTCAATTCTCATCATCTTCATTGTCTACTCATATTATTCTTAGCCACAGATATCTGAATTCGTTCCAACATGAAATGAGCACATATTCTTTATTCATCTGTGGACCCTCCCACACAGCCATGTTACCCAGAATATCAAGGCAGATATTCCACAATATATTCCACAATATATATATAGGAAATTGCTCTGGGAATTTTCCAAGTTTCCAAAGTTGCCATATTTATATAGCGCTGATTAATTTTATTTTGAAAGAGACATAACCCGTACTACTTGTACACTGTGATTATTAGCTTGTGCAGCATCCAAAAGGCAGTGACCCCAGAGCTTTATGGGGGGAAATCTTTTTGGATTATAATGCACAGAATCCCCAGTCTGTAATTTTATCCAATCTCTAACAGGCTTGTTTTACAGTGAATATTAATTTCTTTCTGCTCTTCTTCAGGATGGATCTCCAGATCAAAACAGCTTCATTGCATGATGTATTCAATCAAGAAAGAGAAGATCTGCTACAGAAGATACTGCTGGTAAGATGGCAAGGATATGCATACTTTGACAAGCTGTGCTTTTGCTTCATAAAACACTGAATGATAATAATAATAATAATAATAATAATAATAATAATAATAATAACAACAACAATAACTTTATTTATACCCCGCCACCATCTCTCCAAGGGACTCGGAACGGCTTACATGAGGCCGAGCCCAATAACACATCAATACAACAGAAAAGCAATAAACAAAACAATACAATGGGTTGCTGTAGGTTTTTTCGGGCTGTATGGCCATGGTCTAGAGGCATTCTCTCCTGACGTTTTGCCTGCATCTATGGCAAGCATCCTCTCTGAGGATGCTTGCCATAGATGCAGGCGAAATGTCAGGAGAGAATGCCTCTAGACCATGGCCATACAGCCCGAAAAAACCTACAACAACCCAGTGATTCCGGCCATGAAAGCCTTCGACAATAAACAAAACAATACAATGCAATACAAATGAATATAAATCACATATAAAAGTAACACACAAAGATTTAAAAACCTATGGCCAGAACAAATGTAATAGTTTAAAATTTAAAAAATAACGCTGGGCATGAACAAGGTAGAATATATCTGATAGGAGGGTTTTAAGAAGTGAAGGGAGCACAGTTCAACGCAATCCATTAGTTAAAGTGCATTTGTAAGGACATTTTGCTGGGAAATTATTTCTTTATTCCGGGAAGGCACACTGGAACAGCTATGTTTTCAGGCTTCTCTTAAAGACTGCCAATGTTGGGGCATGCCTGATATCCTTTGGAAGTGAGTTCCAGAGTCGAGGGGCCACCACCGAGAAGACCCTCTCCCTCATCCCCACCAATCGCGCCTGCGAAAGAGGTGGGAGCGCGAGCAGGACCTCTCCAGATGATCGAAGAGATTGTGTGGATTCATACACAGAAATGCAGTCGTCCCACTCTGTGTCCCCAGCATTTCTAAACACTTAAAACAACAGAGTCCATTAGACGACACTAGATCGTTCCATTGATTGCCCGTTTGAATCTGTTTCTGAAGTTCAAGGTTTTTCAAGACAGGGAGGAATCTACTCCAAAGATGTGGGTAAAAGTAGCTACATTGAAGTGGGATGATAATTGTTCTGTTTCCACAACTTTAATCTGTCTTCAGTGCTGATAAAATAATAATAATAATAATAATAATAATAATAATAATAATAATAAATCAAGAATATATATCTCATTTGCTGTGACATACATGTTTTTGTGTCAGTAAAATAATAATAATAATAATAAGTAAAACAAGCAGACGAAGAAGCAAATCCAAAAAGTTAAAAATATCAAACATTAAAACCAATAATTAAAACTAAGTACCTTAGGGAAGGCTGAGCGAAGGAAGATCGATGCTTTTGAGCTGTGGTGTTGGAGGAAAGTTCTGAGAGTGCCTTGGACTGCGAGAAGATCCAACCAGTCCATCCTCCAGGAAATAAAGCCCGACTGCTCACTGGAGGGAAAGATACTAGAGACAAAGTTGAAGTACTTTGGCCACATCATGAGGAGACAGGAAAGCCTAGAGAAGACAATGATGCTGGGGAAAGTGGAAGGCAAAAGGAAGAGGGGCCGACCAAGGGCAAGATGGATGGATGGCATCCTTGAAGTGACTGGACTGACCTTGAGGGAGCTGGGGGTGGCAACGGCCGACAGGGAGCTCTGGCGTGGGCTGGTCCATGAGGTCACGAAGAGTCGGAGACGACTGAACGAATGAACAACAGTCCAAGATCATATTTTAGAGCCATTTATTTATTTATTTATTTTATTTCACAGTTTTCTATACCGAGCTTCTCAACCTCATTGAGGGACTCAGCCCAGTTTCCAGCCATAAAAAACATATACACTCATTAAAATATCATATATCACAGTTACAAAAACAACTTTAAAAACACTATATATAAAACTACAGTGGTCAGTCGTCCTATTAAGATGGATCTACATCAACTTCCATCCAGAGTCCTATGGTGTTGTCTCATTCCTCGAAGGCCTGACTCCACAGCCACGTCTTCACCCGTTTCCTAAATGTTAGGATGGATGGGGCGGTTCTGGCCTCCAGAGGGAGAGAGTTCCAGAGTCGCGGGGCCACCACCGAGAAGGCCCTGTCCCTCGTCCCCACCAGGCGCGCTTGCGAGGCCGGTGGGACCGAGAGCAGGGCCTCTCCAGATGATCTTAATAATCTTGATGGTTCGTAGGGGAGAATATGTTCGGAGAGGTAAACAGGGCCGGAGTCGTTTAGGGCTTTATAGGTCAACACCAGCACTTTGAATTGTGCTCGGAAGCTAATTGGCAGCCAGTGGAGCTGGCGTAACAGCGGAGTGGTGTGCTCCCTGTACCCAGCCCCCGTTAGTAATCTGGCTGCCGCGCGTTGGACTTGCTGCAGCTTCCGGGCAGTCTTCAAAGGCAACCCCACGTAGAGAGCGTTGCAGTAGTCTAAGCAGGATGTAACCATTCCATTCGTCAAAGCACTATTTCATATTCTCTTATTGCACTGATTGAAAAATTACTGACCAATGGCTTGGTCCCATAACCACGTTTTTAGTTTTTTTTTCCTGAAGATCAGGAGGGAGGGAGCTGATTTAATTTTGCTGGGAAGGGAGATCCATAGACGAGGGGCCACCACTGAGAATGTGGGTTATCTGTTTTGATCTGGATTATATGGCAGTGTAGATCCATCTTGAGAGATCTTCTGAGCAATGTATTGTCGAAGGCTTTCATGGCCTGAATCACTGGGTTGTTGTAGGTTTTTTCGGGCTATATGACCATGTTCTAAAGGCATTTTCTCCTGACCTTTCGCCTGCATCTATGGCAAGCATCCTCAGAGGTAGTGAGGATGCTTGCCATAGATGCAGGCAAAACGCCAGGAGAAAATGCCTTTAGAATATGGCCATATAGCCCGAAAAAACCTACAACAACCCTCTTCTGAGCAACCTCAGGCTGCACAGTGTTTTGCATTGATTTTCAGTAAGAGCTGTGTTTGCTATATTCCAGAGTCCTTTGCAAATGTTATAAACATTTTGAGAATTATATTGTAATAAAATTATTAACCTACGGTGGGATTTGTTTCTAGGCTGAGGAGCAGCTGGAACTGGCAAACCGATGCTTTGAAAAGCTGAAAAGCGAAAATGAGCTCTATAATACACAGTTGCAAGCATATGTTACTGAAGAAGAACATTACTGTCAGGAAAGAGACAAGCTTAATCAAGAGTACGTTCCCATTTCAGCTCATTCTCAGCTTAATGCTACCTTGGTATATAAAGAAGTTTTGAAAATATGTAATCGAAATAGGCACATATCGCTTCCCTGGTTGACCCTGACTCTGTTTTCCTTCTCTTGTTCTGTTGCTTCTGCTTGGGAAATAATTTCCTTGGAGGAGTTGGAATTAAATGGAGGATTTAAGGTGAATTGAAACTCATTTTTATTAAGAGACTAGCCATCCCCTGCCATGCGTTGCTGTGGCCCAGTCTTATATATGTGTTTTGTGTGTATATATATATATGTGTGTATATGTGTCTCTCTTAGGCAATCCCTCGTTGGACGAGTAAGATGGTCTTCCTTGATGACTATTTTTGTGGGTTTGTAGGTGGCTGTGGAGCCCTATTCTTGACCCGCATCTTCTCCCACAGTGAGGGCATTGGTTTCCAGGTGGAAGGCGGTCCCGGTCGGGGTTGGCTTGACGCGCCTTCCTCCTGGCACGTTTCTCTCTTTCACCCTCCACTCGTGCCTCCTCGAATTCTGCAGCACTGCTGGTCACAGCTGACCTCCAGCTGGAGTGGTCAAGGGCCAGGGCTTCCCAGTTCTCAGTGTCTATGCCAGAGTTTTTAAGGTTGGCTTTGAGCCCATCTTTAAATCTCTTTTCCTGTCCACCAACGTTCCGTTTTCCGTTCTTAAGTTCAGAGTAGAGCAACTGCTTTGGGAGACAGTGGTCAGGCATCCGGACAACGTGGCCGGTCCAGCGGAGTTGATGGCAGAGGACCATCGCTTCAATGCTGGTGGTCTTTGCTTCTTCCAGCACGCTGACGTTTGTCCGCTTGTCTTCCCAAGATATTTGCAGGATTTTCCGGAGGCAGCGCTGATGGAATCGTTCCAGGAATTGCATGAGATGTATATGTGTATATATGTATGTTTGTGTATATATGTGGTTTTGCACATGCGTTGTGATGCATTTTTTGTTTTTTGGCTTTTAAAGTCCCTTCCACTGTGTTTTCAGTGTTTTTATGAATGATGGTCACTTGTTGTCCTGATAGGTGTATTCTGTCCAAATTTCGTGTCCATTTGTCCAGTGGTTTTTGAGTTATGTTAATCTCACAAATGAACATTACATTTTTATTTATATAGATGCATCTCTAGGCCATGTTGTCAGGCACAGATACACTATCCTACAAGCTCATACACATATTTTTGGTAGTCTTACTACAAAATCAAAGTCAGTGTCAATTAGAAAACTATACATGCCAAAAACATGCTATTCACTTAGAGCAGGCATGGGCAAACTTTGGCCCTCCAGGTGTTTTTGACTTCAACAATTCCTAACAGCCTACCGGGATTTATAGTTAACCAACAATCAAAGAGCATTCTGAACTCCACCAATGATGGAATTGAACCAATCTTGGCACACAGATCTCCCATGACCAACAGAAAACTCTAGAAGGATTTGGTGGGCATTGACGAGTTTGGGAGTTGTAGTTCACCTACATTCAGAGAGCACTGTGGACTCAAACAATGATAGATCTGGACCAAACTTGGCACGAATTCCCATACTCCATATGCCCAAATATGAACACAGATGGAGTTTGGGGGAAAATAGACCTTGACATTTGGGAGTTGTAGTTACTGGGATTTATAGTTCAGCTACAATTAAAGACCATTCTGAACCCCACCAATGGCAGAATTGGGGCAAACTTCCCACACAGAACCCCCATGGCGATTAAAAAATACTTAAGGCCATCCAGTCCAACTCGCTTCACCAGGGCAAGAAAACTTGATCAAAGCGCTCCTGACAAAGAGCCATCCAGCCATAGAGATAGATAGATAGATAGATAGATAGATAGATAGATAGATAGATAGATAGATAGATAGATATATTCACAAACACACAGATATAGTATCATAGATTTGAAAGGGACCCCTAAAGGACAATTATATGTTTCATGTTCCAAAGTAGGCAAACCAGACAATCTTCACATCGACACTGATAAAGAAACAGCAAGAAATACTGTTTACTCACAAGCAGAACCAACACTTTCTCATTACTTTATTTTCCAGATCACCAGACTGGGCCACAGCAACGTGTGGCAGGGGACAGCTAGTATTTTGTAAAATGCATGTATACATTTTGAAATGCTCAGGTTTCTAACCTGTTTCCCCTTCCCCTTGATAGCCTTGAATATTTATCCAACATGCTTACTGAAAAGCTCGACTGTATAGCCAGGCGGTTCATGGAGACAAGAAGTCTAGAAGAGGAGATGGAAAGACTACAGGAAATATATGAGTAGGTTTCATTTTGGATGCTAAACTATAGGTTCCACTCTGGGATTGAAAAGTGCAAATAGGAAGATGGGCAGTGACTTAACCAAGAAAGTGTACAATCCAGTGTGCCTTTTGGCTGCATAGGATATGCGTCCACACAGAGATACCCTATATCAGCACTACGCAGCCCCCAAGCAGAATAGCATCAATGCTGTCTGGGTAATGCTGCTTCTGCCACTATCAGCAGAATGCATCTATTATGCAATGGTGACTTCTTTGTCCCCATACATGTGCCAATTCATATATGAATAAGTCTCAAACTGGATGCCTGAAAATATCTGTGAACAGTATTGGGGTCCTGGAAAGATGGTAAAGATAAAAGGTTTCTGAACCTCCTCTAGGTGAGATATGGGCAAACTTGGGCCCTCCAGGTGTTTTGGACTTCAACTCCCACAATTCCTAAATTCTCTGACCACACTTCGCACAAAATGTCCTTAGACGCACTTTACTTTATGGGTTGTGCAAGGAAATCTTTCCTCATTCCTGGAGCCTCCTCCTTATAAGTTACTCTGCCCTATCTCCCAGTGTTTTTAATATTTTCTATAATTTTATCCATGCATCTGGCTCTGCCTAGTGAAATTTCCTGTGTTTTTAATGCTTGATTTTATATTGTTGTGTTGCATATTATTTCGATTTTGCATTTTATGTATTTTGCTTGTTTTATTGTGTTTGTGTTATAGCTTGTATTGTATTGATGGGCATGGCCTCATGTAAGCCACACCGAGTCCCCCTGGGGGAGATGGAGCGGGGTATAAATAAAGCTTATTATTATTATTATTATTATTATTATTATTATTATTATTACTGTAAATAAATAAATAAATAAATAAGTTTCACTACATACAGAGTGGGGAAAAAGTTATCATATCACCGATCTTGAAAAAATCAGCTTAATGGTGGCAGGAGTGAGAGTAAAGGAATATATCTTAGTAGTCTTTTTTAAGAAAAAAAATGTAGAAAACCTTACTATTTGACATCTCCCTCCTTGTTTCAGATCCTCGCAGAATACCTATGCAAATGAGATATCAAATCTGGAGATTACATTACAGAGAGAAGGGGAGAGAAGGTAGAAATAATCTCTGAAAATAAATGGCTGGCAATGGCATGCATTTGCAATTGTCTTGATATTTCCAAATAAATGTTGTTCCTTTGATTTGCATACATTGATGCCTGTGTTCACCCATCCCAGGCTATTGCTTGGTGTTTGTTATTACCGGTATTACCTTTACTTATGCCCTGTCTTTCCCCCATAATCGGGATACATAGCTTAGAAATTAAAATAAATATAGCAAAGTATAAACATAAAAAAATGTTACTTTTCTATTTTGGAAAACACAGTCTTTCATACAGTCTGGATCCAAGTTGTTATAGTGGTTTAAAACTCTGGCCAGAAATGAACTATTCATTTGGAAAAGTTAGCCGAAAGTATTTGACCACTGAAGTGAGTAACTTCTAGTGGTGCAGAAGCAGACATAGACAACAATGAACAAGCTCACTGTCACAATTGTCCCACATCTCTGCCTAGTGTTTCTCAACCTTCCTAATGCTGCGACCCCTTAATACAGTTCCTCATATTGTGTTGCCCCCCACTCATGTTCAACATCTTTATTAATGACTTAGATGAAGGGCTAGAAGGCAGGATCATCAAGTTTGCAGACGACACCAAATTGGGAGGGAGAGCCAATACTCCAGAGGACAGGAGCAGGATTCAAAACATCTTGACAGATTAGAGAGATGATTGGCCAAAACTAACAAAATGAAGTTCAACAGTGACAAATGCAAGATACTCCACTTTGGCAGGAAAAACGAAATGTAAAGATACAGAATGGGGGACAATGCCTGGCTCGAGAGCAGTACGTGTGAAAAAGATCTTGGAGTCCTTGTGGACAACAAGTTAAACATGAGCCAACAATGTGATGTGGCGGCAAAAAAAGCCAATGGGATTTTGGCCTGCATCAATAGGAGCATAGTGTCTAGATCTAGGGAAGTAATGCTACACCTCTATTCTGTTTTGGTTAGACCACACTTGGAATATTGTGTCCAGTTCTGGGCACCACAATTCAAGAGAGATATTGACAAGCTGGAATGTGTCCAGAGGAGAGCGACTAAAATGATCAAGGGTCTGGAGAACAAGCCCTATGAGGAGCGGCTTAAGGAGCTGGGCATGTTTAGCCTGAAAAAGAGAAGGCTGAGAGGAGATATGATAGCCATGTATAAATATGTGAGAGGAAGCCACAGGGAGGAGGGAGCAAGCTTGTTTTCTGCTTCCCTGGAGACTAGGACACGGAACAATGGCTTCAAACTACAAGAAAGGAGATTCCATCTGAACATGAGGAAGAACTTCCTGACTGTGAGAGCCGTTCAGCAGTGGAACTCTCTGCCCCGGAGTGTGGTGGAGGCGCCTTCTTTGGAACCTTTTAAACAGAGGCTGGATGGCCATCTGTCAGGGGTGATTTGAATGCAATATTCCTGCTTCTTGGCAGGGGGTTGGACTGGATGGCCCATGAGGTCTCTTCCAACTCTTTGATTCTATGATTCTATGACCTCCAAATTATTTTCATTCCTACTTCACGATTGTAATTTTGCTACTGGTATGAATTGTAATGTAAATATCTGATATGCAGGATGTATTTTCATTCACTGGACCAAATCTGGCACAAATACCACATACGCCCAAATTTGAATACTGGTGGGGTTGGGGGTGATTGATTTTGTCATTTGGGAATGTTGGAGTTGCTGGGATTTATAGTTCACCTAAAATCAAAGAGCCTTCTGAACTCCACCAATGATGGAATTGAATCAAACTTGGCACACAGAATTCCCATGACCAAGAGAAAATACTGGGAGGGTTTGGTGGGCATTGACCTTGAGTTTGGGAGTTGTAGTTCACTTACATCCAGAGAACACTGTGGACTCAAACAATGATGCATCTGGATCAAACTTGGCATGGATACTCAATATGCCCAAATGTGAACACTGATAGAGTTTGGAGAAAATAGACCTTGATATTTGGGAATTATAGTTGTTGGGATTTATAGTTCACCCACAATGAAATAGCATTCTGAACTGCACCAGCGATAGAATTGGACCAAACTTCCCACACAGAGCCCCCATGACCAACAGAAAATACTATGCTTTCTGATGGTCTTTGGCGACCCCTCTGACACCCCCTCACGACCCCCATAGGGGTCCCGAACCCCAGGTTGAGAAACACTGGCCTAGACTTTTAAAGCTCTTTTTACTCTTGTACTGTCCCTGTTTTTTTTATTATTATTATGCATTCCTACTATTCTAGACGGAGCCCCCAATTGCGCAGCGGCTTAAACTGCTGAGCTGCTGAACTTGCTGACCAAAAGACAGGGGCAGGGAGAGCTCCTGCTGTTAGCCCCAGCTTCTGCCAACCTAGCAGTTTGAAAACATTCAAATGTGAGTAGATCAACAAGTACTACTCCAGCGGGAAGATAACGGCAATCATGCCAGCCACATGACATAGGAGGTGTCTATGGACAAGGCCAGCTCTTCAGCTTAGAAATGGAGATGAGCACCACTCCCCAGAGTTGGACTCGGCTAGACTTAATGTCAAGGGGAAACCTTTACTTTTCCCTTACTATTCTAGATTGTTTCCAACAACCATATCAGTTTTTAGAAACCAGTGTTGCCTCCATGAACTCAGATTGAGTTTTATCATAGAATCATAGAATTGGAAGAGACCTCATGGGCCATCCAGTCCAACCCTCTGCCAAGAAGCAGGAATATTGCATTCAAAGCACCCCTGACAGATGGCCATCCAGCCCCTGTTTAAAAGCTTCCAAAGAAGGAGCCTCCACCACACTCTGGGGCAGAGAGTTCCACTGCTGAACGGCTCTCACAGTCAGGAAGTTCTTCCTCATGTTCAGATGGAATCTCCTTATTGTAGTTTGAAGCCATTGTTCCATTGTGTCCTAGAAAACAAGCTTCCTCTCTCCTCCCTGTGACTTCCTCTCACATATTTATACATGGCTATCATATCTCCACAAACTATCCTATCCAGTTTTACGCTGCCTTCATTTAACGTTTTAATTGGATGAAAACTGTTTTCGTCCTTCAAAATCATTTTTACATGAAGTTAGCGATGTTTGATTTATTGTATACCAGCCTGAAAGTTGTAGATAAGAGGCGAGAGATACATATTTTAATTAATAATATTAAGAATAAAAATGTCAATGTGGTAAAGATTGTGTTGTTGTTACTGTTTTGGGGATGAAACTTTTTAAAAAAACCACTTTCAAAATGTTTATTTAGCTTTCTTAGAGTGCATTTACACCAGGCATGGGCAAACTTCGACCCTCCAGATGTTTTGGACTTCAACTCCCACAATTCCTAACAGCCTATTGGCTGTTAGGAATTGTGGGAGTTGAAGTCCAAAACATCTGGAGGGCCGAAGTTTGCCCATGCCTGATCTACACTCTAGAATTAATTCAGTTTGACACAACTTTAACTGTCATTGAATCCTGGGATTTGGAATTTGATAAGACAACAGGCCCTATAAAACTATAACCCTCATGATTTCATAGAACTGAGCCATAATGGTTAAAGTGATGTCAAACTGTATTAATTCTATGGTATAGATGCACCCTTGTTACTCAAAGAAGTTTTGCTTTTTGAGTATGTATGTGACGTATTTGAGAACTTGAGTTGTGTCACATGCCAAGCTGTTGTCATTATCAACATCACAGTTTATTGTTAAGGCTTTCATGGCCGGAATCACTGGGTTGTTGTAGGTTTTTTCGGGCTATATGGCCATGTTCCAGAGGCATTCTCTCCTGACATTTCGCCTGCATCTATGGCAAGCATACTTCTGAGGATGCTTGCCAAAGATGCAGGTGAAATGTCAGGAGAGAATGCCTCTAGAACATGGCAATATAGCCCGAAAAAACCTACAACAACCCAACATCACTGTTAGCACTATTGTATGATAAATTATACCCTTTTGCAAAGGGGCAAATTGAGAATATTATCTGAATGATAGTTTTCAGCTCCTGAACAATTTAGCTTTTTTCTTCTCCCTCAATGCTAGGAAAAAGTTGCAGGATCAACTAGAAGAAATTAGCGCACTGTATCAGAAGCTGATGGCTGAACACGAGGCATTACTGAAAAGTTCAAAGGATGAAGGTGGAGCTGTTAAACAACAGCTGAGTCTCTTAACCTCACAGGTATGCTTCCCTTGTAGTGATGACAATCCCATTAAAATGACCCTTATAGATTTTCTACAGGTGGAAGAATTCTCATAGAAGAAGACCCGTTATTTTTTCCAGATGTTTCCCAGATTAAAATTTATTCTCCCACATATGTATTCATTCACAAAAATGGTAATTGCCCTTGCCACAATTTGAAATGGATACTTAGTATTGAATACATTTGGAATGCAATCCTAAACGTCCAATGTTGGTGAGGCTTTATTATCTAGCGGAGGTGCCCTATTGCTTCCATTCACTTATGGAGGCCTACATCATCATCATCACCATCACCATCATCATCACCATCATCATCACCATCACAACAAAGTGGGTGCTAGAAACAATATCATACGAAAGCTGACTGGCACAACCTGGGGATCACAACCAGACACAGTGAAGACATCTGCCCTTGCGCTATGCTACTCTGCTTCTGAGTATGCATTCCCAGTGTGGAACACATCTCACCACGCTAAAACAGTGGATGTGGCTCTTAATGAGACATGCCGCATTATCACGGGGTGTCTGCGCCCTACACCACTGGAGAAATTACACTGCTTAGCCAGTATTGCACCACCTGACATCCGCCTGGAAGTAGCAGCCAATAGTGAAAGGACCAAGGCAGAGACATCTCCAGCTCATCCCCTGTTTGGGTATCAGCCAGCACGTCAACGACTTAAATCAAGAAATAGTTTTCTAAGATCTACAGAGACACTCGCTGGAACACCTCAGCAAGCGAGAGTCCAAAAGTGGCAGGCTCAAACCCAGAACCTCAATCAATGGCTGATACCAAATGAGAGACTCCCCCTGGGCACACAGAAAACTGGGCGACTTGGAAGGCGCTGAACAGACTGCGCTCTGGCACCACAAGATGCAGAGCCAACCTTAGGAAATGGGGCTACAAAGTGGAATCCACGACATGCGAGTGTGGAGAAGAGCAAACCACTGACCACCTGCTGCAATGCAACCTGAGCCCTGCCACATGCACAATGAGGACCTCACTACCTCTGAGGATGCTTGCCATAGATGCAGGCGAAACGTCAGGAGAGAATGCCTCTAGAACGTGGCCATATAGCTCCAAAAAACCTACAGCAACCCAGTGGTTCTGGCCATGAAAGCCTTCGACAAGACTTTGTATTCTGAGGTGCAAAGATGACTGCAGATGCAGACTGCAGCCAGGAAATCAGAAGACGCTTACTTCTTGGAAGGAGAGCAATGACCAATCTCGATAAAATAGTGAAGAGTAGAGACATCACACTGGCAACAAAGCTCCACATAGTTAAAGCAATGGTATTCCTTGTAGTCACCTATGGATGCGACAATAAGGAAAGCTGAGTGAAGGAAGATAGATGGATTTGAACTGTGGTGTTGGAGGAAAATCCTAAGAGTGCCTTGGACAACAAGAAGATCCAACCAGTCCATCCTCCAGGAAATAAAGCCCGGCTGCTCATTGGAGGGAAGGGGATTAGAGGCAAAGATGAAGTGCTTTGGCTACATCATGAGAAGACAGGAAAGCTTGGAGAAGACAATGAGGCTGGGGGAAATGGAAGGGAAAAGGAAGAGGGGCCGACCAAGGGCAAGATGGATGGATGGTATCCTTGAAGTGACTGGCTTGACTTTGAAGGAACTGGGGTTAGTGACGGCTGACAGGGAGCTCTGCCGTGGGCTAGTCCATGAGGTCACAAAGAGTCAGAAGCGATTGAACGAATATATAACAACAACAACAACACACAACTACAATTTTAAAAATTAGGCATTGTCCTCATTCCTGCAGCTTTTATCTCCCCATCCCCAAAATACTTTTCTTTTGGACTATGCTTCAATACCAGGTGTGATGGGCTGAACAAAGTGCTTAGAGAAAAGGCTATAGGATGAAGGTCCCAAAATCTCTAGCAATGTATCTTTTGACCCCAAAATGTAATGCTGCCACCTACCACTACACATTACATCTCTTCTAATTTTTTAACACTTGTCATAATTAGAATGAAGAGCTTGACAAAGAAATAAAGAAGTATGAAGAAACAATGAAACATCTCACTGCCAAGCTAAGCAAAAAAGAAGCAGAGTATAAGAAACGTGATGCCAACTTGGAGAAAGAGATCCAGAACCTTGAGGTAAAGGATTACTTTTTAGAAAAATAAATAATTGAAATATGTGATTTCTTTTCCCTGTTAGTTGTATGAATGTTGTGCTTATAATATGGATTTATAGTTCGTTGAATGGCAAGGCTTTCAGGCAAGAAGTACAACTTGGGTATTCCTCTGAAAACTGATTTTTATAATTTGTGTGGGGCTAATTTTAATGATTTTATCTCCGGCTGAAACCCTGTTTTGTGTATGTTCTTCTATTTTTGTCTGATGCATAATGGCCATACTCAATTCATGACCCACGTTGTGTACCATCATGCCTGCTGATTTCACCTTAGAGCTAAAATATATTTTTTTWAAAAAAAGAGGAGAAAGGAATCAATTGCTCTGCTGTGTCTCAAAATTATTTTAATTATTTTATCTCCGGCTGAAACCCTGTTTTGTGTATGTTCTGCTATTTTTGTCTGATGCATAATGACCATACTCAATTCATGACACACGCTGTGTACCATCATGCCTGCTTATTTCACCTTAGAGCTAATTTTTTTTAAAGGAGGAGAAAGGAATCAACTGCTCTGATGTGTCTCAAAATTAAAAAGAAACCTACTCTATATATTCATGTATAAATCTAGAAATTGTAGTCAAAATGACCCCAAAAACCTGGGCTGACTTATCCATTGGTCAATATAAATAYTGTGGCAAAGGGAACTGTGCTGTCGCACGCTGGGCCTGTGCATTAGACTGTAGACAAGACATACATTCTCTGTGCCCAGTGGGATGCCGGGGACGCCTCAGATTAAAGGCCTWTGGATTCCCCCAAACAGAATMTTTAGATTGCTTAAAGTAAATCCAACAAAGTTCTTTATTGATGAAAACAAACAGGTACTTTCAAGCTTTCTGAACAGTCTATTGGCTCTTGCAATCTTGTTCACTGGGAACAGGCACTATCTTCATAACTGTAATTAACTAATGGGGAAATCCTTAACTTCTAACCTGGGCAGTCTGTCTTTGCCTCTGTTGGCGTRGAGCCCCTGCACCCAGTACCAACTGCRTCWGGCTTCCGTGAGAGACCCTTACCAAGCAGAGCTTTGTAGACTTCCAGGGAAAAAGAAGGAGTTCAGGTTTCAGTGATGGCTGCCTGAAGTCCCTCAGCAAAGGGGCTGTAGGGCTGTATGATCCTTGGCCAAGCTGTGGGTTGTAAAACCCTGGCCAAGCTGTAGAGCCTTTTCTCCCTGGCCAAGCTGTAAAGCTGTATGTCTCCCGGCCAAGCCGTAGAAGACGAAGCTTTCTACAGGAGCTCTTGGTATTATGTCCTGTGTGAAAGGCTTCTCTGTGTGGACTGAACTCAAAAAGGCTCCTTTTCCCTCCAAAACTCAAAAAGGGGCAGGACCAGGGAACCTAACTATAATTGACAGGTGGCTTGCCCTATGATTGCAAACTATAACAGGAAGCCACCCTACTGCAAAATCCCAAGCCTGGGATTGCAAACAAACATTTAATGCAAAGCGAATAAAATTGGAGCTCCTGGAACAGCTGTTCCAGAACAGGAACCATCCCTTTTTCTGGTGAAAGACAAGAACCCAAAAGAAGCAAAGGACACCTCTATCTATTATTATTTATTTATTTCAAACATTTGTACCCCATCCTTCTCAACCTCCTGGGGGGGGGGGGCTCAGTGTGGCTTACAAAGGCAACAATTTGATGCCAACACATACAAAACCACAATATTTATTTATTTATTTAGGGCTTTTATATCCCGTCCTTTCTCAATCTCCGCAGAGGGACTCAGGGCGGCTAACAAAGTGGCACCCCATGAGCCAACATCAAAACATAAATATACAATTAACAGCAATATAATAATAACAACAATATAAAACAGTATAAACAGTGTAAAACAGTATAAAAACAATCAATCAGTCAGCGGTCACCGGTTTAAATCATCATCCAAGGGGCAGTCCATCAGTTCTATATAAGTCAACACGTCAGCAAGTCAGCCTATTCTCCAAAGGCCTGATCCCATAGCCAGGATTTTACTTGTTTCTGGAAGGTCAAGAGGGATGCAGCAGATCTAATTTCACTCGGGAGGGCCACCACAGAAAAGGTCCTGTCCCTTGTCCCCGCCAGACGCGATTGTGACAATGGGGGGACAATGGGCAGGATCTCCTCAGATGATCTTAGGGCCCTAGGTGGATCGTAGCGGGAGATACATTCGGACAAGTAAACTGGGCCAGAACCGTTAAGGGCTTTATAGGCCAAAGCCAGCACTTTGAATTGTGCTCGGAAGCTGATAGGCAGCCAGTGGAGCTACCGTAACAAGGGCGTTGTACGCTCCCTGTACCCAGCCCCAGTGAGCAGCTTGGCTGCTGAACGTTGGACTAGTTGAAGAAGTCTTCAGAGGCAATCCCACGTGGAGTGCGTTGCAGTAGTCTATTCGGGATGTAACAAGAGCGTGGACCACCATGGCCAAGTCAGCATGACATTACAAATACAGCATGGCATTACAAAGTAGATAAAAGCATTAGGTTAAAATCCATTTAAACAATATTTTTCGCCATATAGTCATAGAATCATAGAATCTATGATTCTTTAGCAAGGCTAAAGCACAAAATGAGCTCAGGCTTGCCAGGGACATTAAAAACAATAAAAAGGGATTCTTTTCTTATGTCAGTAGAAAAAGGAAAAACAAGGAGGCGATAGGGCCTCTTCGAGGAGAAGATGGGGCAATGCTGACAGGGGATAGGGAAAAGGCAGAACTACTAAATACCTTCTTTGCCTCGGTCTTCTCACAAAAAGAAAGTCATCTTGAACCTCAGCAAGACGGAGTGGATGAGGGATTTGAGGACATCCAACTCCAAATTGGGAAACAAGTCGTCCAGGAATACCTGGCTGCTCTAAATGAGTTCAAGTCCCCAGGGCCAGATCAACTACACCCAAGAGTATTGAAGGAACTAGCGGAAGTCATTTCGGAACCATTGGCAACCATCTTTGAGAGTTCTGGAGAACGGGAGAAGTTCCAGCAGATTGGAGGAGGGCCAATGTGGTCCCAATCTTCAAGAAGGGAAAAAAGGATGACCCAAACAACTACCGTCCGGTCAGCCTCACGTCGATACCAGGCAAGATTCTGGAAAAAATTGTTAAGGAAGTGGTCTGCAAACACTTAGAAACAAATGTGGTCATTGCTAATAGTCAACATGGATTTATCAAAAACAAGTCATGCCAGACTAATCTGATCTCTTTTTTCGATAGAGTTACAAGCTGGGTAGATGCGGGAAATGCCGTGGATGTAGCGTACCTGGATTTCAGTAAGGCCTTCGACAAGGTCCAACATCTTTATTAATGACTTAGATGAAGGGTTAGAAGGCATGATCATTAAGTTTGCAGACGACACCAAATTGGGAGGGATAGCCAATACTCCAGAGGACAGGAGCAGGATTCAAAACGATCTTGACAGATTAGAGAGATGGGCCAAAACTAACAAAATGAAGTTCAACAGTGACAAATGCAAGATACTCCACTTTGGCAGGAAAAACGAAATGCAAAGATACAGAATGTGGGACGCCTGGCTCGAGAGCAGTACGTGTGAAAAAGATCTTGGAGTCCTCGTGGACAACAAGTTAAACATGAGCCAACAATGTGATGTGGCGGCAAAAAAAGCCAATGGGATTTTGGCCTGCATCAATAGGAGCATAGTGTCTAGATCTAGGGAAGTAATGCTACCCTCTATTCTGCTTTGGTTAGACCACACCTGGAATATTATGTCCAATTCTGGACACCACAATTCAAGAGAGATATTGACAAGCTGGAATGTGTCCAGAGGACTAAATGATCAAGGGTCTGGAGAACAAGCCCTATGAGGAGCGGCTTAAGGAGCTGGGCATGTTTAGCCTGAAGAAGAGAAGGCTGAGAGGAGATATGATAGCCATGTATAAATATGTGAGGGGAAGCCACAGGGAGGAGGGAGCAAGCTCTTGTTTTCTGCTTCCTTGGAGACTAGGACGCGGAACAATGGCTTCAAACTACAAGAGAGGAGATTCCATCTGAACATGAGGAAGAACTTCCTGACTGTGAGAGCCGTTCAGCAGTGGAACTCTCTGCCCCGGAGTGTGGTGGAGGCTCCTTCTTTGGAAGGCTGGATGGCCATCTGTCAGGGGTGATTTGAATGCAATATTCCTGCTTCTTGGCAGAGGGGTTGGACTGGATGGCCCATGAGGTCTCTTCCAACTCTTTGATTCTATGATTCTATGTTCTATGAATCAAAGAGTTGGAAGAGACCTCTTGGGCCATCCAGTCCAACCCCCTGCCAAGAAGCAGGAATATTGCATTCAAATGACCCCTGACAGATGGCCATCCAGCCTATCTGAGTCCGATTCAGTGGCCAACAACCCAGTCCAAAGCCTGTCCATAGTCATTTCTCAAAACATTGCAATTGCTATCAAGCTTGTTACCCAAATGCCTGGTCCCAAAACCATGATTTGAGCTTCTTCCTAAAGAGAAGGAGGGATGGAACTGACCTAATTTCGCTGGGAAGCATGGTCCACAGCCAGGGGGCCACCACCGTGAAGGCCCTGTCTCTTGTCCTTGTCTAATGCATTTGCAAAGAAGGTGAGACTGAGAGCAGGGCCTCCCTGGATGATCATAAATTCTGAGGCGGGACATAGAGGGAGATATGTTCGGACAAGTAAACTGAGCCAAAACCGTATCTCTGCTACAGCAGCTCTTCTGACCTTTTGGGATCACCTGGGTGGGAAAAGGTGGTGGCCAAGGAGAGTTGACCCTCTTTGATGGCTCTAGTGCCTTCTCTCCTCTGCAGAATGACCCCCAACTTATCCCTGGATCACATCCTAACAGCTGGTAGGCTGTTAGGAATTGTGGGAGTTGAAGTCCAAAACACCTGGCAGGCCAAACTTTGTCCATGCCTGCTCTAGAGGAATTTAACCACTACCCCTCTCATCTGTCAAAAAAGATGATTGGTGGGTTGAAGCCTGATAGAGTGAGATATCACAAGCATAATCTATTGATGACGACATCAGGCCCTAAAAGGCAGCTGAGTTTCATACACTCTTAGCTGACCATATGCAACTACTTGGATTAAGAAAAAAACAGTATAAAAGAGCCAGGATTGTGAAATCTGTCTTTGCAACAGATCTTGAGGAAACCTATTGTCAATTAACTCATTCATTATTCCTGGCTATTTGTCTTCTCGACAGGCATTATATCACTCCAAACTGAAACGGCTACTAGAAATGAAGGAGGAGCTAGAACAGAATCTCCCGCTGGAAGAAGAACTGGCATCAGAATGTGAGAGAAGAAACACTGTTTACACTGCTAAACAGGATTTGTGTAAAGGTACATTTTGCATCAGCAGTCAATGTTTAATAGGGGCATCTTGTGCTCCTTATTGCTAGCTCCAGTTAGTAACCTGGCTGCCGATCTTTGCACCAAGTGCAGTTTCTAAGCTATCTTCAAAGGCAGCCCCACATAGGGTGAAGTGAAATAATCCAATCTAGATGTAACTAAGGCATGGACCACCATAGCCAAGTCCGGCTTTTCGAGGTATGGTCGCAGCTGGCACACAAGTTTTAACTGTGCAAAGGCCCTCCCGGGCACTGCCAACACCTGAGCTGAGTCAGTTCTGAGTCCAGGAGGACCCCCAGACTGCGGAATTGTGTCTTCTGGATGAGTGTTACCCCATTGAACACAGGTTGTCACCCTAGACCCTGATTGGCCTCACAACTGACCAGAAAACCTCCATCTTGTCTGGCTTAAGCCTCAGCTTGTTAGCCCTCATCCAGTCCATCACAGCTGCCAGGTACTGGTCCAGGATTCAGGGGGCTTCCTTGGATTTCGGTGGAAAGGAATGATAGAGTTGAGTGTTGTGAAGATCCCTTACCTTACCAGCCTGGGTGGCAGGGCCTAGGAGAGGCAGGCTAGTTAGTTTCAGCCTTAGAAGGCCTGGCAGAGGGCAGCAGGAGCCATTTTAGTTTAGGGAAAGCTCCATTTCAGAGAGAGGGAGTGGCCTAGGCCTAAGCCAGCCTTGGAGCAGCCAGGATTGGTTTGTTAAAGGGGGGCGGAGTTGGACTGTTTGGAGGGAAAGAAAGAAGCTTTTTCAGTGAGTCAGTCTGGTTGATGTTAGAGTTAGAGCAGGATTGCAGAAGCTTTTAGGAGTTCGTGTTAGGAATAGGCAGTTTGCCTGAAGTTTGCCAGCGAATTAAGCTGTGGCAAACTGGGTACAGCTATTTAGGGAAAAAATAGCTGGGTTTTGTAGTTTGTAACAAAGAAAGAACCATTCTCACGCAACCGTTATGCTTTCAAGAACCAGAACATTTTATCTGTAACAGCCAAGCTTATCAAACAGCATTCACTTCATTCTGTACTTCTATCAATAAACTTTCTTGATTATTTTTTAAACTTAAAAGCCTGAGTCCAGTGTGCCTTTGTGGCTATAGTTCTTTTCATTCAACCTCACCTGTTTTCCTTCAGAGAAGCCATTTAAAAGACACAGTGTTTGGTGGTCCTAGAAGCCCTTTTTAATATTTTAAATAGCTAGAGTGTTCCTGTACCATTGTTTATGGTGGCAGCGAAAGCTTAATTAGTGAGTCAAACGTTCTATAGGTGCCAAAGTGGTGTAAATTCCTTATATTGGAGGGACAGTTGGTGGGATCTCTTTGCCCCCTGTCCAGACAGCCATAAAGGAGTCTTTATAATTGGTGGCAGCGGTGGGATCTGTTTGCCCCCTGTCCAGTTATATTGTTTGGCCACACGACGGGCCTTTATAAGTGTCATCTGCGTACAACGATATGTCTTAACAAATTTCCTGAAGTACAGTGCAGTGTTGAACTCCCAGCACTACCTTCTGAATTTCTCCTCCTAGCAAGGACCAGAGATACCATAATTCCATTTTTCCAAGTCTTGTACCAAATATTAAATTTCTCTAGAGTAAGCGTGGACAAAGTTTGGCCCGCCAGGTGCTTTGGACTTCAACTCCCACAATTCCTAACAGCCTACCAGCTGTCATTCTGCAGAGGAAAGAAAGCACTAGAGCCATCAAAGAGGGTCAACTCTCCTTGGCCACCACCTTTTCCCACCCAGGTGATCCAAAAGGTCAGAATAGCTGCTGTAGCAGAGATACAGTTCTGGCTCAGCTTACTTGTCTGAACATATCTCCCTCTATGTCCCGCCTCAGAGTTTAAGATCATCGGGAAGACCCTGCTCTCGGTCTCAGCTTCTTCACAAATGCATTTGGTGGGGACAAGAGACAGGGCCTTCTCAGTGTGGACCATGCTTCCCAGCGAAATTAGGACAGTTCCATTCCTCCTTTCCTGTGGTTGATGGCATCATAGGCTGTGGTTGATGGCATCATAGGCTGTTGAGCAGTCCCTGAAAACCAATAGGGCACACTCCCCTGTCCTTGTCCCAGTATAGGTCACCACCATAGCATAACCATTAGCATCCCCAAGTCACGCTGAAAGCTGGGTTGACATAGATCTTCAAAACCTGGTTTCTCCAGGAATCCCTAGAGCCGAGAGACTACCACATTCAACAGAATTCGCAGTACTGGAGATTGTCCAATATATTGTGGTTCACAAAGGGCTTTTCACCAGTATTGCCATATTAAACAATAGTTTTGTCATCTATACTGGATTATGGACCAACTGAAAGTGCTTCTCCTTGTATATATCTATTTGTATTCTAATGTTTTTGGAGAACTAGTTCAAGTAACATTGCCAAAATAACCAAAGTATGTGATGGAAAGAGAAAGGTCCTTTTTAGCTGTGAAATGCAGATGACTTCTAAAAAAAATCTAATATGATCTTATAATATTATTGATTTCTGATGTGTCTGAGGATGCGTTGACTTTGATTGGAATGGTTGGATCCAGGCTATCCTCTTCTCCACTCCACTTCTGATTCCACCTAATTTTAGGTGTTTATTTTCCTCTCCTTGCTGTTCACTTCTGGAGCACTGCCATGGGAAGGAGGACAGGGAGACACAATTCTTCCAACCCAGTGGCACATGCCAGAAATTGGTTCTAACCCATTGCATTGCTTTAATCCTCTGTTGCATGATTTTATGCTGTTGAATTTATTATTTTATTTTACTGCCAGAGAACCATTGCTAGTGGGCAGCAAGCAACTGCTGTCAAATAAATACACTCACTAAATAGCACCACACTGGGAGGACTATTTGTTATCCCAGTTGATTCTTTTAAGTGCTGCTAATTATAGTTTATATTAACTGAACCAAAACAATGAGTTTGAGCCTTTACAATGTCCTCCTTTTCCTCTTTTTTAAAAAAAGAATTGCAAGAAGAAGAACGCATGCTTAAAAAGGCCATTGAGAAGTCCATAAAGGAGATCGGCAAACTCAAACGACAAAGGGTAATAATAACTTCTTTGGGCATCGGGCTTTCTGGAAGCTGGGTTGTTGTAACTTTTTTCGGGCTATATGGACATGGTCTAGAGGCATTTTCTCCTGACGTTTCGCCTGCATCTATGGCAAGCATCCTCAGAGGTAGTGAGGTCTGTTGGAACTAGGAAAAAGGGTTTATATATCTGTGGAATGACCAGGGTGGGACAAAGGACTTTTGTCTGCTGGAGCTAGGTGTGAATGTTTCTGTAAACTGTTTCTGGGATTGCCTTTTCTTTGCCCAGCTCCAAAGGTGGGCTACAATACAGCGACAAGAGACCATTCAATGCGCTCTTCTCAGTGCAACTAAAAGTGACATAATAGAATGGAATATGGGGTTTTAAGGAGCACATGTGGTCTTCAGGTTGCCCTTTCCCAACTCTGCTCTAAGTGGCAAATCTATCCATAACTATAATATATATCTGAACATGAGGAAGAACTTCCTGACTGTGAGAGCCGTTCAGCAGTGGAACTCTCTGCCCCGGAGTGTGGTGGAGGCTCCTTCTTTGGAAGCTTTTAAACAGAGGCTGGATGGCCATCTGTCAGGGGTGATTTGAATGCAATATTCCTGCTTCTTGGCAGGGGGTTGGACTGGATGGCCCACGAGGTCTCTTCCAACTCTTTGATTCTATGATATTCAGTAATATACATATACAGAAATACAGCAATAAAAATGGAAGAAAACGGAAACACTACCAGAAAAACAGTTTTTTCATGATATACAAAACTAAGGGGTCTTCCAGACAGGCCCTTTATCCCAGGATTTGATCCCAGGTTTTCTGTTTATCCCAGATTATCTGGCAATGAGGACTCATATAATCCAGTTTAATGCAGAAAACCTGGGATCAGATCCTGGGATATAGGAACTGTAATCTTTCTTTCTTTACGTTATAAATAATAAATCAGCACGTATTTCCTTTTGCAGTTTCAGGCAAAGAATGAAATCAAGAAGAACAGGGAGATGACGGTCGAACTGCAAAAACGGTTCACAATCTCTCTGAAGTATATTGAGAGGGACAACTATGAGATAAGCAGACAGCTCTACCTTTTGAATGGAGAAAATGCCAGGTTAAGAGCAGTAAGTGCTTATTTGTGTACTGTTCCTATCAAGGCACATATTTTTTAGAATGAATGGCCAGTTATATGGATCATTGCAAGAACACATTGCTAGTTTGAAGTGTTACCTAGATTTGTTTTGCTCTTCTTTTTTTCCCCTTTCTTTTCCTTTGTACATATTATATTACTAGCTGTCCCTGGCAAGTGTTGCTGTGGCCCAGTTTGGTTAAATGGAAAAGAAAGAAAAGAGAAGGAGCAAGTTTCTAATATATTTAAAATATTGAAATAGAATCGTGAACCAGCTGTGCCACCGGGTTGTGGTGCATTAAAATCACTACAGACTGAAGGGTCATGAGTTCGAAGCCAGCCCGGGTGTTGCAACCCAGAGCAGGAAATGAGACCATAAGATAACAATCCACCACACTTGACTGTGGGAAAAAACAATCCCTTTTTATTGATGAAAATGGTTACAAAATAGAGGAAAATGCAAAGTCAAAAAGCCACAGTAAAATTCAGCAGTCAGGAATATCCATGAGTTAGATCAAAATTCCAAAAGCAACACTGTAAAAACGTGGAACCTGTTAGCAAACCACTAACCGTACTTGGAGCACTAGAAGCCTCTTGGGATGTAGGCCACGGGAAACAGGGAAATTTGCCAAGGTAATGCCTCAGTCTAAACGATGCCTGATCTAACGAGACAACCCAGYGAGAGGCACTTAAAACTGAAGAAACTGTTTCGTGACACGCCTCCAGGCTTTGAAGCCTGTGTTTCCTTTTCCCTTAATCTGCTTGACCTTCGCAGACTCTGHGATTCACTCCYGTTTTTCCAAATCTGTCMTTTTCTATCCTCATTAARGAAGCCAGGTGTTARCTCCTCTGRAGAGCTATCACCACTTGGCTCTGCAACTGTTTCGTGACACAACTCCAGGCTTTGAAGCCTGTGTTTCCTTCTCCCTTAATCTGCTTGACCTTCACAGACTCTGCGATTCACTCCTGTTTTTCCAAATCTGTCCTTTTCTATCCTCATTAGGGAAGCCAGGTGTTAACTCCTCTGAAGAGCTATCACCACTTGGCTCTGCAACTGTTTCATGACACGCCTCCAGGCTTTGAAGCCTGWGCTTCCTTTTCCCTTAATCTGCTTGACCTTYGCAGACTCTGCAATTCACTCCTGTTTTTCCAAATCTGTCCTTTTCTATCCTCATTAAGGAAGCCMGGTGTTAACTCCTCTGGAGMGCTATCACCGCTTGGCTCTGMAACATTCTCATCAGAATGTGTAGTTTCACTTTCCAAGCCACTGACCTCAGAATCAACATTTTCATTACCATCAGGGAGAAATACAATMAGAGAATCAGGTTCAGGTTCAGCAATCAGAGAATCAGGTTCAGGTTCACACRCAGGCTGAACTCCAACACTGGGTCAGAGTGAGCTTCCGGCCATTTGTCTAGCTTGCTGTCAACCTTTGCAGCCCGAAAGACAGTTGCACCTGTCAAGTAGGAAATGTAGGCACCGCTTATGTGGGGAGGCTAATTTAACTAATTTACAACACCATAAAACTCTCCAGCAGCATGCAAAAAATGAGGAAGTACTCCATTGGTGTCACAAGTGGATAATAATAATAATGATAATAATAATAATACTTTATTTTTACTCCGCTACCATCTCCCCAAGGGACTCGGTGCGGCTTACATGAGGCCAAGCCCATAATACATCAATAAAACGAAGGCAATAACAAAATAATCAATACAAAACAGTAAAATAAATCTCAAAACAAAAATA